CATACCTTAAAGAAGGAGAAGTTTGATTTGCCTCATGGTTTCAGGGTATTCAGTCTATGAGATGCTGGCTTCCAGTAGAAAGCTCATGGCAGAAAAGCTTTGTGGAGGTGCTTAGTTCACGGTGACTGAGAAGTGGAGCAAGGGGACAGCACAGGAAAGGAAGGGTAAGGGAACCTCTATAATACCCAAGGTCTTGCCCCACGACTCTCTCAGGCACACACAGGAGTGTGCTTTACTAAGCCTCTAGATGAACCCCAAGCCAATCAGGCTGACAGTTAAGCTTAACCACCACAGGGATCTCATGACTTCCCTCTTTTGTTATTTCTTACCTAATTGCCATGATAGGAGCAGCTCCTCTGCCACATTCTCCCACCATGATGTTCTGCTTTATCCCAGGCCCAAAGCAACAGAATCAAAGGACCAATGCCTCTGAAACCATGAGCCTATATGAGCCTTTTTGCTTATTAAATTGATTGTCTTAGGTACCTCGTCATGGTGGCAGAAAACAGACTAACATAGATTCTAAGCACTGATCAATGATATTGTTTCTAAAAATAATACACAGTTAACAATCACTAAATAACAAACAACACTGAATTTTTCTTCATCCAGTTAATAGTGGCCTAAATCAAAATATTGATTCATTTAATTTTTTGTTTTGTTTTGTTTTGTTTTGTTTTGTTTTTTGTTTTTTTTCCAGTACCAGGAATTGAACTCATGACCTTGCACTTGCCAGGCAGGCGCTGTGCCACTGAGCTAAATCCCCAGCCCCAATCCATTTAAATTAAATAATAAGCATTTCAAATATTTTCTATATTTATAATTTATAACATAATTTATCATTTTGTTTATAATTTTGAATTTTACATGAAAATAGTGAATATTATTGTGATTTTCAAAAACACTTTGAGTCTTAGTATTTGAATTGCACACATGAAAAAGGTAAGGCAAAGAAGGTTACACAGGCTAAATTTTTCTTACCACAGTAGATAACCGGGTCTTTAGAGACATTTGCTAAATTTATAAACACACTTCCCAACATAGAGTTCTGTTATAGAAAAATGGTGTTTAAACCACCATATTTTATCATCTTTCTCACATTCCTACACCTTCTCTAAATAATATTTCACAAGTTCATGAAACATTATATATTATCAAATTTACACTTCAAAAATCTTACTTTTAATCGTTGTTCTCGACCGGGTAATGATGAATGTAAACCCACATGCTGGAAAAGAGAAGGTTTATACTGTATACGAATTTCCTCCTCTCGTTTTAAGCATTTTTCCTAGGGAAAAAGAGAAACAATAATCTGTAAAAACACAAATTTTTCTTTCTATTGCATTTACCAATAGCAAGGTTTTTAGTGTGTTAGTTTTGCTAGAGTTCTATGTTAATATTTTTTAAAAAATAAAAACATTTAGGTCTTGCTCTTTTTCATAAGAATAGTAGGGCAAAAGAGTTGGGGTAAGAGAGATTTTATCTAAAGTCATTTATTTTTGAAAACCCTGCCTTTTAAAAATAGGCTACAGCTAGGATTTTTCTCTTTTCTTTTTATTCCAATAATTTAAGTGAAATCTCTAGATTTGCACAAGCTTTCTTTCCATTTTTTCCCTTCCATTGTGTTTTCTTTTCCTTTCCTTCCCTTTTGCCTCCCACCTCCTGTTTCCCTTTCTATTTGCACATGTTCTTCATACTTCCCAAAATCTATGCTCCTCATTTACCCTTTGTTTTCTCACACAAGAGAAACAAGGTGATATTTAAGCTTGTGTATCTGATGTTTCTTCAGTTTAAAATTTCAAAGTTTATGTTATGTGCTGGGTGTAGTGCTTTTTAAATATCAAATTCAGTTGCTGATATTATTGTTCAGTTCTTTTTATCTCCTTAATAGCCAATCATCTACCAATCTATTGATTACTAAGAGAGGAAGGTTGAAGTCTTCAACTATGCTTATAGGTGAATTTATTTCTCTTTTCAGTTCTGTTTTGCCTTCATGTGTTTTGAGACTCTATTATGAGATGCAAATACTTTCAGGAGTTCTCTATCTTCTAGGTGAATTGAACATTTATGATTGAACATATATAATTGCTTCCTTAATCCCTGATTTGTTCTTACGCTGCTCTTTAGTTTAATGTTTTTACTACTAGTTTAATAGAGTCTAGTTTAATATATTTACTACTACAAATTTCCTCTGATTACTGTTTGCATGCTACATCTTTTACATCTATTACTTATAATCTAAACCATATACTTGAACTCCATATGGATATCAATAGTGATTGTCTTAGCTACTTCTCATTGCTGAGACAAAATACCCAACACTCAAAGTTAAAAACGGAAAGGTTTATTTAGCTCACAGTTTATAGAGGTTTCAGTTCATAGTTGGCTGGCTCCAAGGCAGACTGGCTCCCGGCAGAAGGCATCACAGAGGAGAACTGTCATGGCACCCACAAGGTAGCAAAAGCAACAGGGACTTTAACAGTGTCTTTCTGCCCCTTTTTGCTCTACCTAGGCTCCTGGGATGAGGGTGGTGCTAAACCAATCAGTGGACTGACTTAGTAATCATATACCTTAATCCCAGCATTGCACTATGAATCAATCACACATTCTAGATCCAGCCACCTCTGAAAAAGCCCCACTTATGACCACATGAGGCTTTGCAGGGACATCTAAACACAACTCATAACAGTGGTATAATTTAAAATTTTTTCTCTGGGCATCTCTTCATATGTGTATTGTGAACACTAATATTTAATGTGAATATCGTACTACTTGGGGTTACATCTACCATTATTTTTGTTCATTCAGTCTATTTTTTGTCTCTCCATTTCTGCTTTTCACTGTACATTTGCACTCTCATTATTTAATATGTGAAAGTTTCAATAAAGATGTTATCAGAAATTTAAACCTTGGATGCACACATCAGATTTGGTTTAGTGAATTAATTTTGGATAATCACATTAAATAGATAATTTTTTCTTAAAATATTTGGCATTTTAAAGTAAAGAAATACTCACTGGTGCTTCTTCCACATCACACATCTTTATGTGAAAAATTTGATCTAAGAGTAAGTCAATAGGTCTTTCTTTGTAGAACATTAAAAAAAAATTTACAAATTCAGGTAAGTCTTTACTTTTGAACAGTTTCCCTATGGAGAGAAGGTAAATGAATGCAAATTACTCACAAATAGTTGTTAAATCCATTAAAATAAGAAAAAAGAAAAAATGATTAAACTGAAATATATCCTATTCTTTATAAAATTTAAAGCATGAATGAAGTTGGAAGATGATGAAGCAAAACATTATATCTACTCAAGTATTTATTAAGGAGTACAAGTTCTGAAGGAAAACAGCGTAAGTAAGTTTAACCAATGCTCTTAGGAAATTAATTTTGATACCTAATGCAAATTGATTGTCTAAGTCAAGTGAAAGATAATGAAATAGGCATTATAAATGCTGAATTTCTTAACTGTATGAAAACCGATTTCTTTGTCTCACGTTTGTAGCACTTTATCAATGTACCACATATTCACTTTTGGTATTCAACTTTTACTGAAAATGTATTATTTAAATATTTGAGCATTGTCTTATCAGAATTTTTCACATTTATGCTTCTTAAATCATATTTAAAATATTTTAAGATTCTTAATTCTAAAATTTTAAGATTCTATGATTTTTATATCATATTTAATCATATTTACTGTATTTTAAGTATGATCCTGTTTGTTCCATTAATTTGTATAACCTATTGCATCTTAGTTTTAAAATGAAATTGAAGGAATAAGAGTCAGTTAAATTTCATTTTAAAGTAAATAATATAAAGTACCTGTAACTAAATAGGCATGATAGTAGGATGTGAGTATGTTTCCATTCTTCCTCGCCCTTGAGTCTATGAGGGTCACTTTAATCAAATGAACAGTTGTATTTTAAATGTTGGTACTCATCTATATAGAAGCCAAAGCAAGTGATTCAATGATAGAAATACTTGAATCACTCCCTAATTGCTGTTAGCATGCTGTAAAATTCTAGTTATCAGGCTCATATTTTGATAAATAATGAATAAGGTAACTGTTACTGAGATAGCAAAAAGCAAAGCTTTTGTAAAGGGAAGCTTAAATAAGATTTGAGCATCACATATATAGTGGTCCTTGTTCAACACGCCTTTGTATGATCAGAATGTAAGTACTGTACTGTCTGTGCTGCTTATACTTAACTTGCTGGAAAAGACAAATTCTTTGAAAATCTTAAATTCTCAGAGTAGCAAGTACAGCACTGAGGTCAAGTCCTCTCCAAGCTTCTCATCAGGTATTACAAGTACCCACAATTTTTCTTCTTATTTTGGCCAAAACTGAGGAAAAATCTTAATAGTTTGCAGAATAACTGAGAAAGAACAGTGACCAAATAAAAATATGAAGAGCAGATACACTTCCTAGCCATCAAAAAACCTTTACACACCTCTGAATGACAGCTAAAATAAACTAATAAAATAAAATAACATAAAATAAAATAAAATGAAGTGAAAAGTACAGGATGAAACCAAATGTTGACAAACTTATGGAGAAACACAACTCATACACATTACTCATGACAGCATAAAGTATAGAGCCAATCAATAGTGTAGAGTATACTCTATCGAAAGTATAGAGCCAAGCAATAGGCTCTACTGGCTACCCAGCTGTATTTGTCCTCAGCAATCCCACATCAGGGAACACATGGGACATTTCATTTTTTCTGTAGTAGCAGAAAATTGGAAATAATCAAGGTTTGCTGCTCAGGGAATGGATGGGTAAGCCAGGTGGATTACTTGGCAGTACGTATGTAGCAAGAAGAAACAGTAAACTAAATGAACACAAAGGAACATGTTGAGAGGTTTTTTTTTTTTTTTGGTTTTTCTCCGGTACCGGGAACCAAACTCACGACCTTGCACTTGCCAGGCAGGCGCTTTGCCGCTGAGCTAAATCCCCAGCCCGAGAGTTTTAAAATCTAGTTTTGAGAACAAAAATGCAAGGAACAGAAATAGGTAAATCATGTTACCACTGAAGTAAATTTAAAGCAGATACAAACATGAGAAACACTATATGCTTTACCTGGATATATGTATATTAATAAGTATGTTTTGAACATATTAAAGTGAAACCTCCTAAGATCTGGGAGAAAGTGTAAGTAGATATTGGGAATAAAAGAAAAGAATAAAATGAGAGAATAGGTGAATCAATAAAGTCACACTGTGAAATTCAACACGATGCCTTGAAGTTCAGAGGGAAAAAAGGATGGAAAGGAGAAAAGAAGAATGGAAAGAAGGAAGAGGAAAGTCTAGATGAACTGGGGAAAGAAAGTCAAATTACAGGCTCAGTTTCAGACAGTTTTCTGTGGTAGGGAGAAATCACATTTAAAGAATGTCAGCTTTGGTGTACTAGAAACTTCAGGGACTACAGAACAATAGTCCTGAGATAAAATTCCTTTCTTTATAACTTCATTTCCATGAGATTCAGTTTTTTCTCTTTCTTTTTATTTTTTGGTCCTGGAGATTGAATCTAGGGTTCTTGCCCTTGCTCTACCACTTAGCTCCACCCCAGCCCCTCAGTATTCTTCTATATAAAAAAGAGAAAAGTGCATCTTTGTCACTAGGCCAAGAAGTGCCAGACTTAGTAAGTGGTTGCTATTATGCATTTATATAATTTATGGGTATATATGTCATTTGACTCATTAATATTATCTATTTAGAAAAAAAGTTGTTCAAACATGTGTTATCTGAAGTTGAGATACCAGAGCTGACTTTATTATCACAATTATAGGATATTTGTAGGACTTATGCCATTCCTTTCCATTTAGTAACCAATTTGTTGATAAGTGCTTTAAATTTGAAGAGTATTTTGTGCAAAAAAGCTTGACCCAACAAGATAAATCTGTTGCTTACCTATGAATCCCAGCACTGAAAACTGAATAGAAAACCAATTATTCGAAGTCATATTCCTTACAAATTCTGTTAATTTTGTAAAGTACATCTCTTTAGCTATGATATCATCTTCTAGCTGGAGAAAAAACACATCAAAAGGAATTACAAATTTTAAATGCTTCTATTAAGTTACATGAGCTTGAAGATAGAAAATATTTATAACAGTACACTGAAAAGATGTCTTTATGAGCTAATAACTATAGTTTCAGTCCAATTCACTGAGGATATTTTATAGTCAGCTTTTATTTTCTGATTCTGAAAGTAACGAGGGGAAAGACTATATTTATCTTTCTGAATAGTAACCTACAACATTCAATTTAAATTCTCTGTGGAGGAGTGTAGTTGTCAAAATCCATTGTCACCAGCGCTCCAGTTTCTAAGGTAAGATAGATCGTGGCTGCTACCACAAAGTACTTTAGACTGGCTGGCTTACAGACAGTGGTCATTTCTTTCTCACAGTTCTGAATGCTGGAGGTCAGAGGTCAAGGCACCAGCAGATTTAGTGTGTGCTGATGGCTGGGTCTTCATCGGTGGTGTCTCCTATACTCCTCATGAGGCGCAAGGGGTTTGTTTTCTGAGAGAACTAACCCCAGCCATGACATATCCACCCACTTCATCCAGTCATCTCCAAAGGCCCCAACTGCCTTATACCATTACTTTGAGGGCTAGGACCTCAACATAGTCATTTTGGGCCAAGACACACACACACAGCCTGTTTACAGCAAGGCTAACGTCGTGCTCAAAATGATAGGCGCCATGTTCTGCCTCCAGCTTTTTTGACTGACAAAGTAGTCCTTGGCAGAGAGATTAACAAACAGAAATGGACTCTTCCCATCCACAGCTAGCTGGTTGGAAAGATGGCACAAGGACACCTAAAAATAGCACTCCTGGAGAGAGGGGAGACAAAACAAGAGCTAGTTTTCTTTTTCTTTCTTTTTTTCACTTAATTGATATTATGAGTAATCTATAAACGTATAGGGCCCTTCTAAATGATTACGAAAAATGTCCTCAGGCGTGTTGCCGGGGCACAGGATAGATACAACTGTGCTGTTTTGTACTGGAAAGTGCTCTGGCTGGCTCTTCTGTTTCCATTATATTGTCACTAAGTAGAGATCAAAAGGATTTTTTTTTTCTCCAAGAAAAGAGAAAACCTTGCTTTCAGCCTTTCTCTAACTTTCTCTCTACTTTCCAACCAGGGAAGTACAGACTTATTTTGGGGAACCACAACATTACTATTTAAATATGGAGGGAATGAGGGGTAAAAACCACAGAACTGGTTTGTGTTTACAAATATATTAGGCACTGTAGAGCTATGGAACTCATACATATGAGGTGATGGAGGGAAAAAATGAAAAGCACATACAACGTCTGACATAAAGAAAGAGCTCCAAGTACATGTGCTTCATCTAGTAAAATTGTGGTCTGAAAAAATACAGGCAGTGCAGTTTCTTTTTTTCTCCCTAATTTATATTTTCTTTACAGTTTGTTCCAGGTAGCTATAATTTCCTTTGGTACAGGGATCCCAGCAAGAATATTAATACATAATCAATTTTAGAATTTCTTTTGAAATTTTAATACAATGAGTATTTTCTGTTTTCTGGTGCAAAGCAAGGCAGAGAAACACAATAAGACCTAAGGAATTAAAGGAAATAAGGAAAAAATAATACTGTCATTTTAAGTTCTATATATACCAAGTTCTCACCTGTAAATAATACGTGGCCTTGGGATAGGCATATGCCATTAAAACAGAAAAATCCAATACTTGCTTCATACGCCAACTAAAAATAAACAATAAAATCTGTTAATATTCATCATTATTTAATTTTTACTTAGATGTACATGTCACTAAACAAAACTACTCTTTTTAACAGTTTATTAACAGAGTATTAGCTACATTAAGTAAAATTGAATATGTTTATACTAAAAAGTTCCTCTCTCTTCATTCAGTGGGAAGTACCTGCCATGCCAAACTAGGGTAAACATAATCTGTATTTTACATTTTTGCTTAGTTAAATTTTGATTAAGGAATGACGTTAACATTCTTTCTGATCTTGAGTTTTGTTTATATGAATACATAAAGAAAATTTCAGCAGGAAGCTGGAGAGGAAAAGCTACAAAGAATGGCTTTCACCCCAGATAGCTCACTTGAGATGTTAGTAAGAATTGCCTCCTCAGTATTCTATAGCCATGATGAGGAGGAGG